GAGCCATATTTTTCTTTTTATTTAGATGATTTTTCATTTTTAGTGTGATACAAAGACAGAGGACATATCTTTTCTGGATTATTCATCTTTTGATAAGCTTTTAAGTTACTACCAATGATGAGCAAAGAGTCAAATTATTTTAGAAATAGTAATTATGATTCATTGAAGGTTTTTTTAATAAAGTTTCATCCACATACTCACACATTTGATTCAATAACAGGCTATGGTACAAGAGCAGTAAAAGACTGAAAGATTTTCTCTTGGGATAACATATGTTCTTCCTCCTTCCTCCTCCCTTTTGCAACGAAGATGAAAGACAGGATTTATTTATATATGAGCACAGTACAGTAATGAAAACTTTATCACTCCAAACTTATAAACACAGTAAATTATTTAGATTAAAAATGTAAGGTTAAAACTATCACACGTTGAATACATTTCTCTCTTAGTTGTACAAATCTGTGGTTTATCCAGGTCTACTGCTTTTTGGTTATTATGTCTCAAAAAGCACTTAGATCAGATACAGAACATCAATCGTTTTACTGAGTTCTAATAAAAAATAGGGAATGAAAATATTATATGCACAGTGATATTTGGTCAGAGGAACTTCTATTTTCTTCTATTTTACCTATATTGACATGAATAATTAAAAGATTGGTCCAAACAATTAATGAGCATAAATTTAAGCTAAACATTTTGCCTTTACATCAATGTTTTACCCTAATTAGAAGTACTAAAATACCTAAATGATGAAAATAATGAACCTCTTCAATCTAAAATGTAAGTTTTCAAATGGAAATCAAAGGAAAAGCCATAATTATGTGGCTAATTTCTGGGTAAGAGTTATTTTCTAATATGTAACAATTTGTACAATAAAATAGTATATAAACTAGATGTATTTAGTCTCTAAATTAATGAAAATACCATATATTTAACATATAACATAAAGTATATAGTATCTAATAATATGTAATTATTTATAACAATGTTACTTGACAAGTGGTATAATTAGTAGGATAAATTAGTCCTAAAATTATTTTAATAATTTCTATTTGAATTGCTAATTTTTGGATATTACTGATATGAAATGATACAGTTTTGATACAGTTGTCAATAAATGATGCTCATGACTAAACTGTGATCTGATACAGGGAGCCACATTAAACAAGTCTAGTGACTTCTCCATTAAATTCATAGTTCTATTGGTTATACTGATGAATCCTCTCTCTCAGTGTCTGCTGAACTAGAAACAATTATATTTCTTTAAACTCATATAACATTGAGATATAAAAATAATCACTATCTCTATCTTGAGCAATGAATGGAAATCATTTATTGGAATGCCATTTTGAATCAAAAACCTAATATTTCATGCCAAGAGGCAGCATATGGTATAGTCAATCTGTGAGTTCTGTTCCTGGGCTATAAGGATTTGAATCCTAGCTCTGCTACTAAATTCCTAACTCTGCTACTAAAGTCTTATAAGTTCTCTGAGTGCCTTAGTTTCCTAGGGAGAAGAAAATGATAATAATTCTGTAATTCAATGAGTTAATATATATTTGGAGTAGTGTTTAGAAGGGAGCAAGTGTTATATAAGAATTAGCACTCATTTTTATTCATAATGACCATGACAGGTAAACATTTGGTAGGTTTTAACAAACTCACTCCAGGAAATAAAAGAAAAATTCCACTCCAGGAAATAAAAGAAAAACTTCCAAAAAGTTGTTTAAGAGAGGAATTCACTTCATGGGTATTCCCTGACCCCATTAATACCCTCACAGGTCTCATAGGTCTCATGTGGAATCCTTCCTTTTCCAGAAGAATCCACCATTCTAATGGAGCTCAAATACCTACTAATATATCTGTTTACTGTCCCCATCTCTCTCAGAGCAAGAATGACCTCAATGGCAGGTAGCCACAGCCTTAAGGTGCCATAAAGGCAGCAGGTATTTGCATCTAAGGAGCCAGGGCTGCTACAAGGGTGAATTCGGGGTGGATTCCAACTGGGCGCATCCGATGTAGGCAGGACATGGGTTATAGATTGGTCCCTTGAAGTCCCTACAGATCAAATAGTGAGGGAAGGCAGGCCTGGTGGGGGAAGGGGGAAAAGAAACGGGAAGAGAAGAAGACTGAAATGAGCAACAAAGAAATGAGAAAGGATATTGTACTTTTTACTAGAATTGGCAGGGTCCTGGAGGCCCTTACCATATCAAACATTAACCTTTTATTTTTAGGATCATAGAAAAGTCAGAAGTTTCTGGAGACATGTTGACATAGTTGGCGAGCACCCAGGAAATTCAAGGCAAAGTTTTATTCACCAACAAGCATAGAAGTATCTCAACCAATTTTTAATAATCAGTAGGGCTATACTGGTACACATACCTGAATATCATTCCTGGTTTGGCAGATCAAAAAATGAGGCTAAAGTTTAATTAACTCTATATGACACCAAGGCTAACTTAAGCCTGTCTTACACTAGTTTTACAATTGCTTGTCAACTGCTGGCTATAAGTGTAACTGAGGAAACTGTAGGTGTGTATAACTAGAAACTCAAAGCACCACTATAAGCAGATGATGTGGTATCCCTAAACTTACAAGAATTAGTAATTAGCAACATAACTTTGTATAATAACTATATATATTATATTCATATACCGAATTATAGATGGAAGAGGATTCCTCAAGGCATTTATCATTTCTGGAATAAAGAATCCAAATCTGTCTTTACAATCTTACCTGCCACTTTCTCATCTGCTTCCCTGTTACCATCATCTGAATATCTTGCAAAGTCTAAAGAATCAAGGGTACTGATGCTCCCAGCTCGATCTATGCAAAAGAGAAATATAAAAGAATTAAATGAGCAGATTTTTATTTAATTGCCAAAATAAGGGAATTCCAAACACCTATGATTATTTCCAGTTAATAAATTATGATTCTACTACCTAGGATTTTTCTTTTAAAACAAAAAGTCAAGGTAAAAATGACCACACCAAAACTACTTTAAAATAATCAAGTTTCCCTGTTCAAATCTCTAGCCAGCCCCTGGGCAATGTACACAGAGCATACTGCAAATGGGCCAGCTAATGACAGAAAAAGAGAACATAAATTTGAGCTACCACTTCAAAAAGTTTGCTGACTGAGTCTGAACAAGTACCTACTGAAAAAATAAAATAAACAACATCCTGAAAAAATATAACAGAATCTAATTTTCACAACCTGACATACACATTGTCTACTGTAACAGCCAAAAAGTACTTGATAGACAAAAACCAGTAAAATCTGGTCCACATCACAAAATCTCAAAACTGCAGATGCTGACATGGATGTAGAGAGAACACTTTTACATGGCTGGTGGGACTGCAAACAAATACAACCTTCTTGGAAGGAAGTATGGAGAACTCTCAAAGAACTCAAGTTAGACCTCCCATTTGATCCTGCAATCCCATTACTGGGTATTTACCCAGAAGGAAAAAAATCCTTTTACCATAAGGACACTTGCACTAGACTGTTTATTGCAGCTCAATTTACAGTCGCCAAAATGTGGAAACAGCCTAAATGCCCACCAACCCAGGAATGGGTTAAGAAGCTGTGGTATATGTATACCATGGAATACTATTCAGCTATTTAAAAAGATGGAGACTTTACATCCTTTGTATTAACCTGGATGGAAGTGGAACACATTATTCTTAGTAAAGCATCACAAGAATAGAGAAGCATGAATCCTATGTATTCAATTTTGATATGAGGACAATTAATGACCTAGTACCTGGTTGGGGGGGAGAAGGGAGAACAGGGAGAGAGAGAAGGAAGGAGGAGAGTGGGGAAAATGAAAAGCAGAGAGAGGGAAGGAGAGAGGGGATGGGAGAAGGGAAGAGTAAAAGAGAGAGGGAAGGAGGGAAGGGAGTGGGGTCTCAGTATGTGACACATCTTTTGGGGGCAAGACACAATTGTAACAGGGACTTTACCTAACAAATGCAATCAGTGTAACCTGGTTTCTTATACCCTCAATGAATCTCCAACAATTAAAAAAAAAAAAACAGTAAAATCTGATCCACTCAAAGAGAAAACACAATCAATTTGGACCAACTTTCAGACCATACAGATATTGAGATCAGTAGACCAAGATTTTTAACAGCTATTATAGCTATGTTCAGTGAAGTAAAAGAATATATGTACACATTGAATGAAAGGAATAGATTATAGACATTATAGTAAAAAAATATGGAATATTAAACATGCCAATAGAAATTCTAGAAGTGAAAAATAAATTTCTAAAATTAAAAATTCATTATACAGTCTAATAAGAGAATAGAGATGACAAAGGAAAGGGTCAGCAACTTTAAAGTTGGATTAA